GTGTATTCCAGATGGAATAGCGGATAGTGGGGCATGTTGACTGCGCACTGTTCTTGTCTGTTCTGTGATTGCAGCCAGTGAATGTGGTCAGGATTGCGACTAGTCCTTGCAGTTGCGAATATGATATCTTTCGGTGGAAATGTCTTATCACCCTAAGACAAGAACAGAACCCTGCTTAGGGAATTGTGATCATGACACGTGTCAATACTTAAAGCTATTTATTTAGTATTCATTTTCGTGAAGCTCCGTTTCGCACAATGTCGCAGTTGACTAATCGACAATATGTTCGACCCAGCCAGTCGACTTCTATTTTAGCCTTTACGGCACATTATGTCTGCTTCTCCCACCGACAGTTGCAGACCCTACCCTGTACGTGTACACTTACAGGAACAGGATGGACTTTGTCAGTATAAAAGCTACTGTTAGCTGCGTCGAAATTTTCTGACATTGGGTGACGAATGCAAGAACCTAAAAGCGTACTGTTGTGGTGAAATTGAATCCAGCAGCCTGTATGACAGTTTGTCACAATTTAGACCCATCTCGCGTCTCCATTTGATTTGATATTCCTCACTTTGTGATACGTTCGAAAAGGCTTCCTGCAAAAATTCTGCGATGAGGGTTTTGTTGTACGAAAGTACTTTTTTAGGCCGAATTCGTCACGTGCACTCTTGGTTTCTCTTGGTACAATACAGTATCACACATCGCGGTACAGTACTGGTATCGATCGTACAGCCTGGCACTGTAGGTTTGCAGCAGTCTGTTTCAAGATTTTGCATGGACGACGATGATACATATAAAAAAGAACATAGCCTACTGTACCGTTATTTAATATTTCAATAATTGTACAAGCAGATGGAGCTGCTTATTAGTCTACTACCAGTCCGAGCTGTATGTGATTTCTAACTTCTGCTTGCGAAGTGGGTCACGCAGGATAAAGAAGAATGACTTCAGCACAACTGCGCAGCGATGCGTTTGTATCAGCGCCTGATTGGTACCGGTACGAGTACCACCGGTAACTGCTGGGATTTTCATCGAAGTACGCACCTATCTATTGTCCCGGTAAAGTAAATGGAAATTATTGCAGCAACGATTTGTTCGCCAAACGGCGGGGATGAGAATGAATAAAATGTCGGATGGCGAAGTTTGAGCTATTTAACTGTTGGACCGTTTTCGTTCGCGGAGAATCCGAAACAGGAACAAAAATTCTGACGGGACCGTACAACAGAACAATCCCCTCATGTTTCCTTATAGATTCGACAGTTTTGCAAATGCATAAAATAACTTACAAAAGCCAATTCTCCAAGTTAGAACAATAACATGTCTAATGGAGCAAGCTCCAAAGGGACCGATTCCCAAACTGCCCCAACGCAGAAATCAAGCGATGCCAGTAAAGGAATCTATCCAGCTGGCGAAGTAAGCTCTTTATCGTATACGGATCTGTGTGCCGGACCAAGCTCCAATGGGAGTGAATCTCGAACTGCAGAAACACAGAAGTCAAGTAATGCCAGTAAAGGAAGCTATCAAGATGGCGATATAAACTCTTCGTCGTCTCGGCATGATGCGAGTTACAGCACCGCCAATTCGCAATCAAGCAAGCAAAATGAGCTTGGGGTCAAAATGGCGCAGCTCGGACTGTTTGGACGGAACAAGGAGATCAAGACCATCCGTAAATGTCTGGATGATCTTGTGGCCACTGGTCAAAAGAAGCTCCTTTATATTTCGGGTCTCTCGGGTACTGGCAAGACAGCGCTTGCCGTCACAGTGGCGGATGCAGTTGCCAAAAAGAAAGGGATCTTCTCCATGGGGAAGTTCGACCAAAAGCTCCGAGGCGAGCCGTACGCTGGTATCGCAGCTGCTGGAAGACATATCTGTGGAGAGATTCTTCATCTCAAGCATTCAGGCGAGCAGATGGGTTCTTTGTCTTTTGAAGACATTCAAGAGACGATCATCGAAAAGGTTGGACCTGAATTGGCCACGCTTATCCTCATCCTACCTGAAATCGAGGATATTGTTGGCGACTCTTCGGAGTATCTCGCCCAGGATGATCCACAGGGGGGAGATCACGGTGCGAACAAAGAACGTTTGAACGGTGCCATCAGAAGTTTCTTTCGTACAATAGCTTCCTTTTTCAATCCACTCGTCATGGTATTGGATGATATTCAGTGGGCCGATCTACCATCCATCAACCTGATGGAAGTATTGATGACTGACAATTCCAGCAACAACTTTATGCTCATCGCTCTTTACAGATCAAACGAAGTAGATGGCTCCCATGTCGTGAACAAATTGATCCGAAATCTTGATGAGAAACAGGACGAGTACGACTACGATACCACAAAAATCGCGGTCGGGGACCTGAAGGTGGAACAAGTCGAGGAGATCTTGGCTGGTATTTTTCAAATTCCATGCTATCGAACGTCCGACTTAGCTGAGATCGTCCATCAGAGGACTGGAGGGAATGCCTTCTTTGTTCTCAATTTCATTTATATGCTCAGCAATGAAAAGCTCATCGCATACTCGAGAGCCGAGAAAAGTTGGGTGTGGGATGAAAATCAGATTGAGCTCGAGACGGTTGCCAGTGACAATGTTGTCAGCCTCCTCAAGGAGAAAATGAAGAACTTGCCCCCGAAGATGCAGGAAGTGCTGCAGCTTGCAGCTTGTCTTGGAGCAAGCTTTAGAGAGGACTTTCTATCAAGAGTGGTCAAGGACTATTTCAAGGAAAGACCGTTGAAGCCAAACGAGCTATCCAAATGGTCTAACGTAGACGGAAGAAAGCGGTCGAACCAATGGACTCAATAAGTGACTCCATGAACGACGGTAGGGCGACCGTCATCTCAGTATTGCACCAGCAACCTAAGTCCGATCTACACATATCGAACTTGTGTGCAAGTATACTGACAGAAAGATAGAGTTATTTCTCAGATTTCACGTCTTACGGGAAATCTGAGACTGGTCCTTTGAGTCGCACGCTTCGCGCGCAACTCAAAAGGACCAGCTTCACACCACAACCCACCAGAGTCACTCCAAGAAAACACCAAGCAGAAGAACCCGAAAAGAAGGCGCCAGTTGGCTATCTTCGATAGCTAACCAGAGCTGTCACTCAAGGATTTCTCAATATTGATAGTGTGGGTTTCAAATGGGTGCATGACAAGGTTCAAGAGGCGGCCCTTCTTATCACAAGCGAACAGAAGCTTCAAACGATGAGATACGAGGTTGGTACCATTCTTCTACGACGATTGTCAAGACTAGAGGTAGATAAAGCCTTGTTTGTCGTGGCGAACTTGTTGAATGTCGGAGTTGGAGGCTCCATTCCTTCGACTGTTGCTACTTCGCTGGCGGAGCTGAACTTTCGCGCAGCGAAAAGAGCCATGCGACTATCAGGCTTCGACATTGCATCTAATTATGCAGGTGTCGGGATTAGTCTGCTTCCACAAGACTGCTGGCAGTCGCATCGTGATTTTACCCTCAAGCTCTACACCCTGGCCACCAATGTGTACGGGGTACTGGGAAATGCTGAAACAATGCAAGTCATGTATGATGAAGTGCTGAGTCAGCCGAATCTTTCACTCGAAGAGAGGTTTCCGTTATATGTATCTATGATTGAGTCCCTGTCGGGGCGGGATGTACAAGGCGCAAAAAATCTGCTACGATCTACTGGAGCAATTGGGCCACCCTCTCTTGAGACAAGGAAGGAAACTTTCGATTTACACTCGTCTAAATCTCATCACTAAATACGATAAGAATCTTGATCCAAATCGAGCGTCGACGCTTGCTATGATGACCAACAAAACGGCTCTCGATGCCATGAAAATCTTGTCGACGCTATTGGTGTTAGTATATGTAAGCAACAAAATCGAGCTTCCCGTGGTTACTTCGAAGATGGTGGCCCTTGTCAACGAATTTGGCGTGTGCGATGAGGCTGCCAATGCATATGCTTATCGCGGAGGCATGGCAACTAATTTAAAGGTGATCGATGCCCATGCAAAGTGCACTCAAATCATAATGGAGCGTTCAAAGGATCGTTACTCGAAGGCTGCATCGAAGTTGTACATAGACTGCCTCCAAAGTAAGTCCATTGCTTGAAATTAGCTAAACAATTTATCTGATCTAACGATATTGGCCCTTATTTGCCCTCCTTTGCTTCAGGTTACACTCACGACATTCGATCGGTCCAAGATAGCTTATATGAAAACTATCATTATAGTTCGCAAGTTGGAGATATCCAAATGTCCCTGTACTCATACATGGTGTTCCTCAAATTCGAAGTTGTCAATGGACGATCTCTCAGAGCAGCTTCGGAAGAAACAAGAGAAAACATTCGAAACATCAAACGGATGAATCGGGGATGGCAAGTCCATCTCATGTCTATCATGTTCCAAGCCATATTGAACATGCTGGGACAGTCTGAAGATCCTCTGGTTTTGAAAGGAGAAGCAATGGACGAGACCGTGTTGGATGATCCAGCAGCATGTGACAATTTGGGCGATGCTTTGAGACATGGGTTCAAAGGAATCATATTTGCATTCTGCGGGAACCACCAAGCAAACGCAGAGGAAACCCTGGAGAAGATTCCCTTTATCGTTGAGGCAACTTCAGGAAATGCTATTCGTCTTTGGTTCGAGATTTATGTTGCCATTTCTTGTTTGCATTGTGCTCGTTCTTCCGACAAGCGATCTTCCAAGTATCGCAGGTATGGAAAGCAGACGAGCAAAAAGACAAAGATATGGATTGCCCAAGGATGCCCGAACTTGAAGCAACTGGATCTACTTCTGGATGCTGAGCTTGCTGTATTGGACAAAAACCCAATGAAAGCTCGTCGGTTCTATCGAGCTTCTATCGAGGCCGGCAAAAAGGGTTACCGAGTAAACGACGCTGGAATGGCATCGGAAAGGCTCGGAGAATACTTACTGAGCATTAATGATCGTGATGGCGCAAAGGAAGCTTTGGTCGAAGCGATGGAGCTCTATTCGATGTGGGAATCGGACCACAAGGTGGAGTCAATTCGTTCGAAGCATGAGGAGCTGATCCGACCTGTGAGTGTGATTCGACAGGACTGAACGTAATCCGCCTTCTATATCTTCTCCGGTTCATATTGTATAGCCACATAGATCCAATAGTGCCAAAGATTTATATTTTTGAATGTATGTTGGAAAATGGCCTTCACGAAAAATGTTCATGCCTTCGGTTCCAATGATGAAGGTTTAGATAAACATAACTATAATACAATTATATTTTCGTTCATTGGAAACTCCAGAACTTGGTCCCTAAAATCCGAATCTTGTGATGAAACATTGCAAGACTTGCCACCAAAACCGTTAGTGAGTAATGTATCAACCAATTCCTACGGAATCGATAGCATACTATCGAAGCTACTCATCATAAAAGTCTGTCTTGGGACTTCTTGCTGCCTTCTCCTTGTTCGCAACCACAAATGCTCATGCCCGGCCATGTCAGCAGCACATATCAATAATTCGAAAACTAACCGCGTTGAGAGCTTCGAATGATACAGCCGAGTAGAACCCTCTGTTTCATTACAGTAGCGGGTCCCAACCTCTTGTTACCTTTCAGAACGAGAGGACGAGAAAGAAGGGGCGACGACGACAGCGACAACAATGATGATCTCGCTCCCCAGAAATAAATATCACCACCACGGCTACTGCTTCAATTGTTTCCACCATCGCTATGGTTGAATATGGACCCTCGATTAGAAAAGAGCCGAGCAGCAGCTGTGTTGGCCACACGTAGGAATGGATGCGTCTGGGTCCTCTTTGTGTCGTTCGTGCTGCGGCAATCGCTCTTATCGTGTCGAAGATTGAATTGAAGCAGCGCAAAAAGAAGGGAGGACTCCAGCAACGTACTAGGCGAGGGTTCACGCCTGATTTTATCGACTCACCGCTGATGGTCACACGTGGAAATGGAGTCTGGGCCCTCTTTGTGGACTTGTCAACTGTTGCAACGAGTTGTGCGACTAGTCTTTCTGTTGAGGTAGATTTGGGACAGACAGATATCATCATCCGTAAAGGATCGCCTTTTGGCCGAGTGACCAGATTCTTGGAAAGTAATTGGATAGAACAGCGATTCTTCCCTTCCTTCTCAGGTCTCGCGAGACGGAACATGTAATGCAAGGGTGTCTCCAGTCTAACGAACCAACGCAGCCCGGAATGTACATCCAAGCGTCAACAAAGTGACGTCGAGCAGCGTCGGCTATTTTCGGTATGATTCGGGTGCAGAATGGTTCATTCATTCAATCGGAACGAGCCTGTGGCAACAGAAAAATGAAATGATGGGTAGAGCATATGTTGACTGCAAACCGAAAGAGCACTTGCCGGTGTTACTTGTCGGTGTTAGTTGGCTCTGTCAACTCGGTCATAAAACCCCTTTCATACGGATGACATGTTCCGCGTGAAAGTGAGACATTGAGCGGTAATGAACACTGAAGAGGGCATATTCGAATATATAATTCTTCGGTCATTTTCACTACTAGTGCGACCTAAATTCCTTTTTTTCCATTTAATCAATGAAACAACACCTCCTCCCTCGAAGGAGATTACGAAGAAAAGAACAGAGCCCTTTCAAAGGAAAAAGTGATAGTCATCGTTTTCTCGTTCTGAGCTCACAAAACTGACCTCGAATACAAAACGATGAATTTCATCACAGCGAATAATGGCTGCCCTATGGATGCAATGCACACAAACATTGCGAATTTTGATATCGCAACACCCACGAAACTATCGATGTTGCCGACTTGCCATGCTCTCCCCCCGCATCGGATGCATTTGAAGAGGAAACACGATCATCGTATGGATAGTGCGAGAGAGAAGCAGTCTTCAAAGTCCTTCTGCAGCTTGGACTATTTGACCCGAGAGGCACACATGATCTCAACTTGTACTTTTGCTGCTTCCAGCAGCAATTTGAAGTTGCACCAACACAGTTGGAAGTCCGTCAGCCGATTCTCTGAAACGAATGGAACAATGAAAAACGCAGTTTTCGAGATTTATGGTTCAAGAACAAGACGACGCCCAGCTCGCACCAACAGTGCGGCACATGATATTATGAGAAAGGAGCTACTACTAGACGACATGGGCAGTCTACTTCGAAGAATGAAGGAATATCAAATACAGGTAAAATCCAAAACATTCATCCCAGATTTTGATAGTGATTCGGATGAAGAAGATCTCGAATGAGGAATCATTCATAGCCCCCGAAGTGGTTGGGGATCACACACCTGGCAATCATGATAGGATGCAGTTTTGGATGAGGTATGCATACAATTTTTCATAATTTAGGTTTTTCATCTTGACAGTCATTATAATATATATTCCGTACCATGCCACTTCTTGCGAACTTGATGACTTGAGCCACAATTTCTATGGCAGAATCTGGGAACACGAGTTTCCAAGTTTGATGGGAATACAACTTGTCTTGTCCCCCTGCTACTGTCATTATAATACTCCTCTTCCCAACCACAAATTAGCACATATCAATGATTCGAAGCGGAAAGCACCGAGTCCACAATCACTGGGTTTGATACCCTTCCTTCCAGAACAGGACGATGAGCAAAGAAGGGGACGACGCACAACGAACATCATGGTGACAACGATGATGATCTCGCTCTCCAAAAAGGAAACAACCTCGCCCACTACTGCAACAATAGAGAGGGTTCTTTCCACCAGCGCTATGGCTCAACACGGAAACTCAATTGCAAACAATGCGAGTAACAGCTCTGATGGTCACACGTGGAAATGGAGTCTGGGCCCTCTTTCTGGACTTGTGAACTGTTGCAACGAGTAGTGCGACTAGTCTGTCCAGCAACGCAATTGGCGGAGGTTCCACTCGTTTCTGGGGCTCGCAATGCCTCCCTGAAAGCTAGGAGTCTTTGACGTAATATGTTATGTATGGATGGACAAGCAATGCAGCCCGAAAGGGCGTTGGGGAGAACTCGAACCTACATCCAAACGTTTCGGGAATGGGCGTTCAATATGATTGAATGAATTGGAAACATGAATCAGCGGCTTGACCAGGTTGAATGCAAACCGTAGTTGCCCCTTTTGAAATTTCTTCACTTGTGAATGTGAAGATTGTGCATGTTCTCTTTTGGTCTATACCGGGTAGTCGTATATCTCGCTTCCATATATTTCTGCACAGGGAAGCGAAGTGGTACGGTTTGAGCCCTTGGCGAACACTGAAGAGGGCTTAAGTTTTATGTCATTGGTCCCGCGAAGTGGGAAGGGAGGGTCCCGTCTATATGCTACCATTGGGACCAATAATTGGAAAAAAGCGTGTTGACAGGTAAACTCGTACATACGAAGAAAAGAACAGAACCCTTATTTTAAAAAAAGAAAGAAGAGTGATCACAAAAAATGATGCAGTGAAAACGATGTCCATCGTTTTCTCTTTGAGCTCACAAAACTGACCTCAAATACAAAGCGATGAATTTCATCACAGCGAATAATGGCTGCCCTATGGATGCAATGCACACAAACATTGCGAATTTTGATATCGCAACACCCACGAAACTATCGATGTTGCCGACTTGCCATGCTCTTCTTCTTCCGGATCGGATGCATTCGAAGAGGAACCACGATCGCATGGATAGCACGAGAGAGAAGCAGACATCAAAGTCCTTCTGCAGCTTGGACTATTTGACCCGAGAGGCACACATGATCTCAACTTGTACTTTTGCTGCTTCCAGCAGCAATTTGAAGTTGCACCAACACAGTTGGAAGTCCGTCAGCCGATTCTCTGAAACGAATGGAACAATGAAAAACGCAGTTTTCGAGATTTATGGTTCAAGAACAAGACGACGCCCTAGGGCATTGGTAGCTCGCAACAGCGCGGCACATGATCTTATGAGAAAGGAGCTACTGCTCGACGACATGGGCAGTCTACTTCGAAGAATGACGGAATACCGAAGACAGGTAAAATCCAAAACATTCATCCCAGATTTTGATAGTGATTCGGAAGAAGAAGATCTCGAATGAGGAATCATGAATAGCCCCCGAAGTGGTTGGGGCTCACACGCCTAGGAATCATGATATGGGCACGCTGTAATTTTGCATGAGGAATGTACATAATTTTTTTCATTATTTTTCAAATTTCAATATACCGGTATACAGGTATCATATCCACTTCAAGTGTTTTAACCATACCGGCACTCAGTACCCCTGGTACTCGGTGCTCGGTACTCGGTACTCGGTAATCGTACTCTTGCAAACTTGATGAGCTAAATTTGTCTCGCTTCTCATTTTTTCACATGTGCGAGAAGCGAACTGTGCGATTTTCCTTGCCCAAATTCGCACAATTTTTGCGCGAAGCTTGAAGTAGTCGTGTTTATTTTTTATTGTTCGTTTCGGTATGATAGATCTCACAAAATTCAAAGCAACACAACAACAATACAATTTCCATAACCAGTCCAACGAAACTACCAAGATGCACAAACTCTCCCTTCTGTTCACAATCATCTTCGTTATCCTCAATGTCAAGGATACCATCGAAGTCTTGCACGAGACAATGATGGTAAGCTAATTTCAACTTGGGGCATCCTCCTCCTCGGCAACTACAAGAGTAGCTGTCATAGTACATTATTAGAAGTAAAAATATGCTGTACCGTCTCCTGGGATGTACAGTATAGAATAGAGAACATGGGCATGGAACGATTATGAATACACATTTTTAAAAAGACTAGAAAGAACATATCAAGATTTCAAGAAAATGCTGGCCTGCTCTGTTAGAATACTATAGTACCATCAGTGTACCATCGTTTGTATCTACTACTATTGGTGGCTGTTGCTCATTTCAATATTTCGTAGTATTCTGCTCACGATTCTTGGGTGGACTGTGAGAAGTTTAACTATTTATAATTTTGTTACACGAAAAGGACCTAAATACTGTATTGAATATTTTATTTTCATATTCAATCTTTCTGATGTCTTTTCAAAATAAAATATGTACGTACTCCTACTGGAGCGGCCTGTAACTGGACCTACACGCGCCGAGTCAGCTTTTCGGGGGTGTCGTTCGGACAAAATGATGGGAATAGCATAGTCTTCAATTTTTTACACAAGTTTGGTTGACTGGCGCGTCTTTCTTTTCAAAACTACTCGGCGTGCGTGCCTTTTTTAAATGCTTCCGAACCGTTGAACCTTCGTCCAAATGGACGAAAATAGTCGACCCTTCGTCGAGTCCGACTATTCTCGTCGGAGTCCGACTATTCTCGTCGGAGTCCGACTATTCTCGTCGGAGTCCGACTATTCTTCGTCGAAATGGACGAAATGGACAAAATGGACGAAACTGGTTTCGGAGCTCGTGTAAAATTCTAAATGAATTCTATGGTTGGCATACCGTTGCACGCAAGCTGGTCCAAGAAGAATGACAAGCAACAACGGCAAAAAACGGTATTTTAATACCACCTGCTACAGACATGTTGCATGCTTTCAGAAATTCAAACGTCAACCACGAATTGTACTCAGTTGAGTAATAGATTTAGGATTAATCCGATCAAGAGGTTTAAAAATAATCTACCCTGTTTCTAATGCGACCAAGTTTCGTCGGGTCCGACGAAGTTTCGTCGGGTCCGACGAAGTTTCGTCGGGTCCGACGAAGTTTCGTCGGGTCCGACGAAGTTTCGTCGGATCCGACGAAGTTTCGTCGGTCCGACGAAGTGTCCGACGAAGTTCACCCATTTCAACGGAACGTCCACGAATGAAATGAATCTTTAGGCAGGCTCGTTTTCAGCGAAGCCCAAGCTCTGCATTGCGCAGAGTCTGTCACCGGCAAGTCAGCTTCCGTCATCCTTGATACGCAATCTATACGACATCGCTGAGGACATTCCCAGCAAGCCTGCCATTTCAGGCCGCTCCTGCATATTTATATGCGCGCACACAATAATTTATACGAGTATATTATCAACACACTACCAGGTACTCGTCCTCCTTTGGACAGAGAAAACCAACTGGGCATGAACTTGTTTGAAGCCCATGCAATACTAAATATAAAATCTGAAGGCTATGATGGCGAAGTTCATCGAAAAGGGGTTGAAAAAGCTTACCGAAAGCAAGCCCTAAGACTCCATCCTGATCGTGGAGGAGATGCCTCACTCTTTCGACAATTGCAAGCTGCCAAGGAAGTAGCTTTACAACAGTTCGGATCTTCCTTGTTGAGGCCATGTTATGTCATGAACAACAGTGCGGTCGAGGAGATCCTTCACAAAGATAGGACCTGTGTGCGTCAGGTAGAAGCTGATCCGATTCGAGACCGAATCATTGTTGCAACTGATGATGGCCTGTGGCTACTGACGAAAAATGCAGGTGAAGCGGAATGGAAAGTCCTTTCATTTGAAGATGATACAAATTTCTTGTGCTGCTCGATTGTAGGAGACATGGTGTATGCTGGTGGAAAGCGTGGTCAACTCTTTTGGCTGGATTTACAGACGCTTGATCATGGAACGATCTCGACTCCTTACCCAGAGTCCAACCTTGTATCCATGTCAGCTTCTTTACAGGGATGGACGACTTTGGTTACCAGTAAACAAGAAATAATTGTCCTGTTGAATCTAAATGATACGGCTGGTCAACCAAACATGATGCTTGCCTGGAAGTCGGGTCTGCAGACGT